ATAGAGTTGCCACTTCTGTGAAGACCCTGTGAGATGGGGTGGGGGAAGTGGGACAGGGTCCCCTCTGTAAATCTCAGCAAGCAGATAGACTCATTTGGGGAAGTTAGCTGAAAGGCATTCTCCCTAATCATGCTTCCCTAGTATGCTAGGAGCAGATGTTTGCTCATATAGCTTTTCCTTTTCCTCTGCTGTCCTCTTTGGCGGCTGGTGCAGATGCTGTTATTGGCAGCTGCACCTTAGTTGTGCTACTTGATTTGCTGGAATCTTAATCTTGTATCTAAGGGTGAAGAGGATGAGGAGGATGGTGCCAGTGAGGCTGCCAGTCTGGAAGAGCCCAAAGAGGAAGATCAGGGTGAGGGATACCTCTCTGAAATGGACAATGAGCCCCCTGTGAGTGAGAGTGATGATGGCTTCAGTATCCATAATGCGCCTTTGCAGTCTCACACTTTGGCTGATTCCATTCCCAGCAGCCCCGCCTCCTCACAGTTGTGAGTATTGGTGAACCTACAACTACTCACTAGATAGCCCAGAACATGCAACTAGCCTGCTGAAAGTTGAGACTAACTTTGTCCCTTTGTACAGTGGTATGTAGTGTGAATTAGCTGAGACCCATGCAATGTTATAGTCTTCTTCTTGTACTACTACTTGGCTGTATGGAGAAGCCTCAAGGTTAGACTTTTGCTTGCTAGGAGACCAGCAAACATTTCTTTTTTTTTTTTCGTTTTTGTTAACTTAGATAAATTTGAAGTAGGAGGGGATGGATGTTGGAGATCGTGGTTAGTTGCTAGGCCATAATCTGTATGCTTTGCTTTAGGAGCCTTTGGGTGTCCTTTTCTAATAGATGCCTTTTCCTCTTCAGCTCTGTTTGCAGTGAGGATCAGGAGGCTATTCAGGCCCAGAAGATCTGGAAAAAGGCTATTATGTTAGTTTGGAGAGCAGCAGCCAATCACAGGTAAATCAACTTGCATCCAGTGTCCAAGTATGTAGAACAGGAATGGGGAACCTTTTTGGCTCCATGGGCCAGATCTTTTATCAGGATCTGCCTTGTGGGGCAAATTTGACAGGTTGGCAGGGTCATCCACCTGTCAAAATCCCTTGTGCTTTGCAAGTCTCCCTGCGCTCCCCCTTTTTCAGCTACTGATTGCAAAGGCTTAAAATGGGAGCAGGAGGAGACTCAGAAAGCCTTTTCCAAGTCTCTCTGCAGTTCCCATTCAAGCCTCCAAGATCAGGGACTTTAAAAAGGTGGGGATAGACTTGCAGGCGGCTTTAAAACAACCCCCACGTTCCTGTTTGAGCCTCTGGAGCCACAAATGGGAGTGCAGGAGCTATCCTAAAGTCTTTGAAGTAGCTGTTGTGATTAAACTGCTGTCTTGACTGCGTGGACTAGTTCCCTGCTGGGAATGCGTAGCCAATGCAGGATTAGACCCTGTCCTCCCACTCATCAGCTGATGTCACCAGTGGTGTCAGCTGATGGGTGTGTGGGTGGCCATGGTTTGGGAGAAATGACCTAGCAGTTCCCCCCCAATGTAGGAAGAGGAGAGACTGCTGTATGTGTCTGTTGTACTAACATTCATTCTAGAAGAGGCATTTCCTTGCGTGTGAAGAGAAAGGGGAATGCCTCTTTTTAATAGGGTGTTTGCCATCTGCAGTCTTTAGAAGTACTTGCACTTAATTAATTGGGCATCTTTTTAGTTGAATAATTGCTTAGTTTAATATATTTTAAAACTTTTAATCAATTAAATGTTGCAACTCCAGGCATTTCCATGTGAGCCTTTAGCACAAAACCTGGCAAACGCCATTAAATTTTGAAAAACTAAGCTGTCAAATTGAAACATAAACCCTCAAAACATGCCAGGTACTGATGGCTATGGGAGAAAACTGAAAAGGTATTGAGTGATCTTGCCACATTCTTCCAAAACCAATGGGCATCTGCAGCAGAATTCTGGTAGCCTATCTTCTATGCTCAGCGAGTGTCATATCTTTGTGTGGTGCAATTCACAGTACATCCATCTGATTGCATATCTGCTACTGGTCTATGTGCATATTTCTCAAGTCCCAACTGCGCTTTGCCAGTTTGATGGAACTGGTACAAAAATATGAATATATAACACTGGTATGTAGTTTCCTCTTTGTGTATCTCCAGTCATAGAAGGTGGATTTTCAGGTGTAGAATTCTCTTGGCTATAGCATATTGAGCAAATGAGTGGAGAGCATGTTGAGAAACAGTTCTGTACTTCTGCATGTGGAAGTTGTGTTACTTCCACTGACCTTGTATGTACTCAGACTTTCAGTAGCTAGTCCTGTGTCACTCTCTTACACATTTTTTGTTGCACAGGTATGCCAATGTCTTCTTGCAGCCCGTGACTGATGATATAGCTCCAGGTTACCACAGTATTGTACAGAGGTGAGTCACCAATTTTTGCATTAGTGTTGATGCCATCTGTCACAGATCTGTCCTGGACGTTAGTCAGCCTGCAGATTTCAGACACTGCCGGCATTTACCTGGAACAGTCTCTTCAATCTAGCATTAATAAAGTTGATCAGGTGCAATGATCAGATTCTTGGCAGAAGTGGGGAGAACAGCTAGTTTAGTTCTTTTTAAATATATTTTTAGATTGTATTAATAAATTTGATTTATTTGGTAATGTTTGCCTGGTGTTTTATTGACAGGCCAATGGATTTATCAACCATTAAGAAGAATATTGAGAATGGGCTAATCCGGACCACAGCAGAGTTCCAACGTGATATCATGCTGATGTTCCAAAATGCTGTCATGTACAACAGCTCTGACCATGATGTATACCACATGGCTGTGGAAATGCAGCGAGATGTCTTGGAGCAGATTCAGGTAAAGCCACAGTCGGAAGTTTTCAGTGGGGCACTGTTCCTATCCTGATGTTGTATGGGAAGCACTGAGTACACTAGGGAAGATGCCTGCTCATTGCGGCATCTTTATTGTCTCATTAGCTTTTAAGATCCTCTTGGAGGTTAAACCTGGTGTCTGACCATCCCTGCATGATTTACCATTCCTACGATCAATCAAAAGGAATGCAGGCTTAGAAACAAACCAGTAAACTGAAGTTACCTCCATTGTTTCTGTAGCAAGCTACTAAACTTGCATTCATGTTGAGAACCTTAATAGCTATTATGTGGTTTCTTGCAGCAATTTCTAGCCACACAGTTGATCATGCAGACGTCTGAGTCTGGGATCAGTGCAAAAAGTCTGCGTGGACGAGATTCCACTCGGAAACAAGATGCTTCAGAGAAGGTGGGGGCTAACAAGAACCTTTGATTTGTTTGGGGGAGGTTGTTTGAGCCATTTGATAGATGCATCCATTTGAGGGGGAGTAGAGGAGCTTTGGAATCCTTCATTTAGAAGTCTCATTTGGAATAGAAATGGGCTTACCCTTTCAGTTTAATTAATAACAAAGATGGCTGTGGCAGTCCCTCTCCCTTGCCCCCATATCCTGCGTTTTTCAATATCTAGTACACTGAAAAAATAATTTGTCCTTGAAGTTGAGGATTGCTACCAAATGAGGAGGACTGGCACTTCAGTGTGTGAAGAGCAGCTCTATTCTGTTATCTGAGTGGTGGGTTAGAGACAGAGAAGTCACTTTTCCAAAACTTGAAGTCAGGAGACTTTACTTGAAGTCAGGAGCCCAATTGAGACATGCTTTTTTGGTTTAGACCAGGGGTTCTCAAATTTCTACCCCCAGCACCAACTTGAGATGATTGAACATTATTGAGGTGAACCAGTCAGAAAGTAGTGGCAGAGGGAGGAAGAGCTTGCCATAATTGGCTAGCAAATTGCTGTCCTTGTTGTTGCAAGGAGTTCCATAGCTCACCTTTCCTCAAGCTAAGTACAAACATTACTCTGCAAGTATTGTGGCTGTCTCCCCATATTAAGCCAGATTCACTGATTCAGATATTCTAAGTGGAGAAGTCTTTTTCTTTTATATTTTTCCCTTTCCACCTGCACCTGCATTTTAAAGCAGTATTACCCATCTCTTCTTATTCTCCTTTCACACTCAACTTGTACTTATTTCCCCACCCACCCACCAACCCAAACTGCCTGTTTCATTCCTCTTCTCTGGTCCTTTTACATTCACTTCTTCCTATAATAGCTTTCCTTTCTTAGACCCTTCTTTTTTATTCCCAGTTTGTTTATTTTCTTATTAGTATCAATAATAACACGGGACGCGGGTGGCGCTGTGGGTAAAACCTCAGTGCCTAGGACTTGCCGATCGTATGGTCAGCGGTTCGAATCCCCGCGGTGGGGTGAGCTCCCGTCGTCCGGTCCCAGCTCCTGCCCAACTAGCAATTCGAAAGCACCCCTAAGTGCAAGTAGATAAATAGGTACCGCTTTATAGCGGGAAGGTAAATGGCATTTCCGTGTGCTGCGATGGTGCTGGCTCGCCAGAGCAGGGATGTCACGCTGGCCACGTGACCCAGAAGTGTCTTCAGACAGCGCTGGCTCCCGGCCTCTTAAGCGAGATGAGCACGCAACCCCAGAGTCGGTCACGACTGGCCCGTACGGGCAGGGGTACCTTTACCTTTACTTTATCAATAATAGCAATAAATATTAATCTTTTATCTTACTTTCTAACTTCCTTCAACACCTCTTCTGTCCCTTTTCCCTGAGAGGAGGGAGACCTTCTTTACCTCCTCCCCACCTGAACTTTCCTGCCTTCTGATTAGAATTTGCTGGTGCTGCCTTTGGTCCAGCCAAAAGGCTATAGTGCAGTTAGGAGGCAAGTGAGGAAGCACAGGGGAGGCTGTGACACTGAGGATGCTAGAAAGTGGCCCAAGGCCCTCTGGTGGGTCCCAGACCATGGTTTGAGAAACCGTGGTTTAGACTGCCACGTTGTCTTGTCTTGTTGTCTTCCTGTGTGTGTGGGTGTGTATATTTCCATCAAATTCATTTGCTACTTCTGTTTGTCTTTTAACAGGACAGTGTCCCCATGGGCTCCCCTGCCTTCCTCCTTTCTCTCTTTGTAAGTACTTAATGATTACGCTTTCAGCAGCACAATAACAATATGGGGACAGTGTCTGCATGATGAGGGGCTTTCTAAAATTACAATCAGACTATGGTCATATTTGGGTTGCTGAAACACATGAAATGTCTCTACCCCCTTGTGCTTCAGTGTATTGTTTCGTGATTGGATGTCTGGGGGAAAGTGGGGGACTTTTTGTTATTTCTGGCTGCAGGCTGCTCACTTCCTTTCATTTCTTCAGTCTTTCTCCTTCCATTCTGGCTTTGGGTAGATCACAAGATTCTACATTTAAAAAGGCAACTCTTGCATAGAGGGTAAAGTTACGCACTAAAGTCCACATTGCAGAGTAATATCCTTGGCTTGCGGCTCTTCCCTTGTTTTCTCTGCACCCTTATGTTGGATTTAATTATTCACATCTAAAGCTTGGTTCCTGCCTTCGTAGCTCACAGGACTCTCAGAGCAGCTTTCTGTAAGACATAACACAACAATAAAATTGTGAAATTATTCTGAGAATTGCAGAGGAAAAGATCCCCAGGAAGGGTTGTATCAATAACAGCTTCCCCTGCTGTAAAGAGAAATCTAGTTACATATGAGCTGCTGTTTCATACATACTTCTTGCAACAGTTTGTGTTGAAGCCTCCTCCAAACTATGGGATAGTTCTAGACAGTGCACATTGCAAGAAGACTAAAATACAGTGTTTTGTTTCCATGGATGCAGCCATGGTCCTATAGTAAGAAAGCTGCTGTTCTGCCCAAAGATGTGTTTTGGCAGGTTCATCCTCCACCCAAGGGAATGCGGGTAGGGATTGTTTTCTAATGCCTATTTATTAAAGACAGAGAAGCATGAGGAAAGACAGCCAGATGGAGTGGGCAGCAGCTGGAAGTGATCTCTCTAGCTTCCGTACATTCACAGAGAGCCGCTGTGAGGACATGCTAGGGAGATAGTGGCAGGGTCACCCACCTGGAAGAGAACTTCTGTAAAGAGCAGCAGTTGATCAGGTATGTTAGCCAGCATCCTTTCTGCCCACTGAAAGAAATGACTCGAAACTTTTCACATGGAGCAAACACATCATCACATATGCCAATGCCAAAAGTCCATTTCCCCCTTTCCCCTTTTGAGTTCACATGCAAACTCTGTAGCTGGTTTCATAAAGTAGTCCTCTGTGTTTTAGGAAGGCAAGTGGTACTGCCTGTCTGTGCAGCCTGTCTTTCCTGGCAACACAGATGGCAGCCAGCAGTCTTTCCTTTTGTCACAGTCTTGCTAATAACAGTGCCTTCCCTTCTCTTTGCATTTTGATTAGGATGGGGGAACCAGAGGGCGGCGTTGTGCCATTGAAGCAGATATGAAGATGAAGAAATGAAGCTGAAGATAAGAAACAGCCCAGTCTTTGGTATCTGAACCCAGGAAGCAAAATGAGAACCTTCCTGATCCTGAGGATGAAATGGCTATGGACAGGGAAGGGCTGACCTGTCAATAATAAAGAATATCTATCATCCTGGAATGTATAACCAGGGTAATCCCAGAAACAAGAGAGCAGCCCCACTGCCTGTTGTAGGGCAGCAGTATTGGGGTCCTATTAGTGTCCTCATATTAGCTAGCAACTGGTGGCTAGTACGTACTGTAATGTGAAGTGTACAGATTTTTTTGTATTTGTGGAGTGTAAATGTGTATAATAAACTGTAGTAGAGAATCCTGTAGAGCAAGGCGTGCTGGCTGCATTGATTTATTTACATTACCACCCTCTCTAAGAAAAACTTGTTTGTAAAGACCTACACATACTGTGAATCAATGTTTTGACTACGTAGTCCAGAATGGCAAATCCATCAGCTAGATCAGACCTGCCAAGCAATTTCAAACAGGTCTGCTAGCTCCCATCTTCCTCCCCATCATAAAGAGAAGTCTTTCCTCCCAGCCCAGGTGCTGAAAAAATAGTTGCCTCTGCTCTTCAGAGATCTGTTGCTGAAGAGCAAAAGGAAATAATTGTATTTTCCATTGCAGTTTTGGTCTTTCCGGAGGAGTTTGAACTAGTCTATCAAACCCAGTGCTGTGATAGATGAGTTTCTACCTGTCTCTAGATGCAGGATAGTAACGTCAACGTTGGCCATGGCCCTCTGCTGGCATGTGGTAGTCCAGTACTGTCTCTTCTCATTGGCTATGTGTGCCCAGACACTAATGTTTCAAAACATGAGGTCATAGCGAGGAGAGAGCATGGAGCAGCAGCCTGGCTGCCTCAGGTGGCGCAACCCACAGGGAAGTGGCTATGGGAGGAGAGACTAAGGCAGAAGTGGGGAGGAGGGTAGCAGACAGAGAGACAGACTAAAAAGCCTAGAATGGACCTGCAGTTTCCTCCTTCCTTACTGTTGCTGCTGGAGCTAAGTATCCCACCATTGCTTACAGATACAGATGCAGGCAGAAGCTGCAGCCTTTTTCTTTTGCCTGTGTCTGTCTCATGGCTCTGTCTCCCTCCAAGCACCACTTGCCTCCTTCCTAGGACAGGAAGATGATGAAACCATAATCTGTTTTGGTCAATTTGGTTTAACTCATCTGTTTAAAGGTCGTGACATTTCATTATCACAGCAGCAAAAATTTGGTATTTTTTTGTAATAAAATAGTTAAATTATAGTTTCTTCAGTTTATTTGTCAAACAATGTCCTTTATGATGATGTATTCAATAAATATCCTTGGGGGGGGAGCAAAACCCCTGCATACACACCCTCATTAAATGTGCTGCGCACAGCTATGCTCATTGGTAGTGACTCTGCAAGGCAGGGATGGGGAGCCTGTGGCTTTCCAGATGATGTTGAACTTCAACTCCTGTCAGCTCTGACTATTGGTCATACTGACTGCACTTGATAGAAGTTGGAGTCTAACAACAAGATCCCCATGCCTGATCCAATATCATGGATAGGTGTCCCTTCCCAGCCCTGCTACTTTCTTTCTCCCTTGCCCACTTTTCAAACTGGAGACGCCAAAGACTGAAACTATGATTGTTTAGGTCTTATGGGGGCAGCCAGCAGCTGGTGCGCAGAGGCCTTCATTGTGGTTCATACCTTCTGGGAGCGACATGTCATTGTTGGCTGCGGCCAGAGACAAACTTGCTCAGAGAAATGGATGTGATTTTTCACCTTTGTACCGTAGGCTACATTACAACTGTGTGGATGTTTCTATACACCTACAGTACACCTGTCCTCCATACAAGCAAGCAAGACACATTTTAACCCAGCAAAAGCAGTCAAGGAGGGCACAGGAAAATAATATAATATGTTATTTTTATTACGACAGTCTGGGCGGCTTCCAACTCATAATAAAACGTTAATAATAACAATCTGATCCAATATAAAAAAATCACAACTTTAAAATAGACAACTTATATCAAACAATGCAACAATCAACAACCCATCAGGATCTAATAATACACAGTAAAATTAAACAGCAAATAATTAAACAGCTCACACATACCACAATAAAGAATTTACCAATCCATAATCAATAAAAATAACAGCAAATCACAATGCATGAAAACCATAAAACATACAAAATCATGTAAAAGGATCAAATTGAAAAACACACACAAATTATAAAACTACACCCACACCCACCCACACACACACACAAACATCCCTGAAATCCTCTCTTCCTAGCTGCTGCTGTTCTCAAAGTCACAGTCTGGGAAAGGCTGGGTGGGGCAGATGGAAACACCAGTGCCTGAGTAGGAACAGAAAACACATGAGGGATGTGGGCTGAGGAGAAGAAATGGCTGGGGGGAGAGTCCTGAGAGTTGGATAGAGAGCCCTGGGGACCGACCTAGGGCTCGTCAACCTCAGCTTCTCCACCACTTTCAACCATGATATCTCCGCAAACGCTTCAATGTGTTGCTTCAAAACATACGTCTACTAAAATTTATATTGTCACCAATGAGAGTAAAATAAGAAACCGTCATAATGTTTTAAGACATCCTCGGGTTTTGTCAGCAAAAACGACTTACTGATTTTCTCCACCCCAAAGAATCTTTCAGGGATAATCAAAAGAATAACTGGATAATCACCAGTTGAGTGATCCCAGCATAAGCAATACAATTGGGTTTCAGGCAAAGGACATTCCTACCCGTACTTGGGAGATACCAGGGTTTGATCCTGGTCCCTTCTGCAGGCAAAGCAGGTGCTCTGCCATTGAGCCACTTCTGGGTTGCCCTGTTCCCAATCCCCACTGCTAGCAAACCTGGTGATATAACCCAAGACTTCAGCAACCCACTCCTGGCTCACCATTTGGATTGCTGTGGGACTTGGCAGATGTGCAGTACCACATAGACAATTAGAAGCTAGGGATAATTTTTGGTTAAAGTTCTTTCAAGTCACAGCTGAGAACATTACCACAACAGATTTCAGGGTTTGAACTTGGCTCCTTTACTACCTGCTCGAACACCTGATCTGATCTGAAGCTAGCACGTGAGCGAGTGACAAACCCTCTTCCCATCTCGTGTACCTCTTGTAGATGGGTCATGTGTGGACCTGGCTGGAGTCCAAAGAAGAATTCTTCACGGAGTCTGAGAAGAGCAGCAGCTGCCCGTCTCCCCAGGGCTCCACAGGCTCTAGCTCAGATCTTGACCTGGAACTAGGCTGCTGGAGAAAGGGGGAAGAAACTGCTGAGGAGGAGGTCGAGGAGAGCAGCAGCCAAGAGGAGGAGAGTCAGCTGGGAACGAGTGGTCCTCTGGCATGGGAAGATGCCAGCAGAGGGGACCAAGAAGAGGCTGGGAGGTACAAGCAGGATGCTATCTTGAGGTTCCTGTCAGAGGTATGGCTGCTGATGGGTGCAGTTGAGGAAAAGGCGGAGGTGGTGGTGGGTGACCTTGTCAATTGGCTGAAAAAATAGTGTTCCCAGTCCACGTGGCAGACTGGCCATTTCTGTATGCAATTGGGTAAAGGTACCTGGAGGTTCAGGAGAAATGTGTTGACAAGGGTTGGTGCCTGCCCTCCAAAAGTGGAAGGGTGTCTTTGCCCAGATGCACTTCTATTCACAGGCCCATGGAGTGTTATTCTGTGTTTCGGCTGCATCTCTATCCTATGCCCGTTAGGACAAAAGATGTGTTGAATGGGCAGATCTGCATGTAGTTCTGTAATGTCACCAATTCTGTAAAGGTCTTAAGCTGTTAGCCTGTCACCCTCTCTTCCAGGTAACTCATTTGATGGAGCCCCTTTGCATTGGCAGCACATACCTGGCCCAGGGTCCACAGGCACCTTGCAGTGCTGGGGAGCTGCCTGGAAGGGGATTGCTGGATCATGAAGGAGACGTAAAGGGATCTGTGATCCACCAAGAGGAGGAAGTGGCTAAAGGAAGTCAGCTTCAGGTTCTGAAAAAGAGAGCTACTTCCCAGGGAAGGGGGAAGTTGGCATTTCAGGTCTCTGAAGGGCTGCCAGTTATGAATTGGGAAGCAGAAGGAATGGAAGAGCAACAGGATCTGTGTGAGGAGTCAGGAGACTCTCAGATTCAGGATGACAATCCTGATGGGGGTTTGGGAAAGAAGATGCCGCATAGCTTTGTGGAAAGTGCAGGAGAAACAGATGAAGATGACTACTCATTAGAGCTTACAAATGATATTTCCTTCAGCTGGAGAACACTGAAGGATGGGGTGCCACAAAACCTAGAGGTAAGTGGTGAAACTCTCACAACTCGAGTTTTAGGACTAGGTCTCTGTCTCTGTGCCTCATCTCCCCATTTTTGGATAGAGGTCATATTCTTTGGAAAGGAGCAGCACAGTAAAGTGAAAGTTGATAAGCAGCAAGGGAAAGATGAAATCTGTGAGCTAGCCTTGATTGTTGGTGGGAAGGGGGAAAGTGAGAACAAGTTGCTTGGGAGGGCTTGGCTGCTGGAGAAAAGATGGATCCACCCAGTTAGAAGCCTTGTATCTTCCATCATGGGCATCTGGCCCTAAGTTTGATATTCCAATTGTTACTTTGCCAATTCAGCTCATGCCTATTTTGTGTTCACCAGGAAGTGGCTGCGGAACGCACGGAAGAACAAGCTGAAGACTGGAAAGATTGTGACTTCCACCTGAGTTACAGCAACGATGACTCCAGTCCCTATGGAACACCCTTGATGAGCTCTCCTACCACAAGTACAGCTTCTTTGCCTTTGTGAGTAATGGTGGCACAAAGCTCAGAAATGGCACCATACCTGCTCTTCAGGCTTAGTACTTTAAGTGTAGCCAGTCATCTCACCATGCAATACTGCTCAGGTCTACTCAGAAGTAAACCCCACTGAGTTATGTGGGCCTGGCTCCCAGCTAAGCTTAGGTTGCAGCCTAAAGCTCCCTCTAGAAGAGGCGTGGGGAACTCTTTGTTAGGAAATAACTGGGGAATACTAGTTAATCCAGATATTCCATGTGTGGGGGAAACTACAAAAGAAAACAAAAAACGGCTGACTGCCTGAATTAAAAAAACATGGGGCTGACTCACTCTGTAGTCAAAAGGGCCCCCAGCAGAGTTTAAAACTAAAATATATGCAGTGTTTGCAAAGCGTGGCAAATATAGGTTGTTAGACCTTTAAATGTCCCAGTATTAAGCACTGGGTACTAATTGTGTTCCCCTGTCTCTACCACTCTCAGAGTTAATAGAGCACAAACTTTCATAAGTTTAAATGCTTTACTTATATTAAGTAAAGGTCACACTCATGCATCAATCAATGCTACAGAAAAAACAACACAGGTAAAAACTTATTGAGTACAAAATACGAAAAGGGTACCTTCAAGCATGGAGTTTGGACAGGGAGCGCCAGCCTCATGTGTCTGGTCAGTTGCATGGTTCAAAAAGAAGAGGGAGGGAGGAGCAGGGAACAAACAATACTTCCCTCCTCCTTGAAGGTGAGGGGGTGTATCTTAGCTGTGCCTTCTCTAGAAATTTACAGTTCTGTGTTCCTTAACCCCTTCATTTACTAACTTTCATTGGTAAGTTGTACAAATTTCTTTTTCCATCGGGGGCTAACAAACCTTAGCTGCATCACTGGTCCAATAACACATTTCATCCCACCAATTTCTTTTTCCTGATGGGAATAAATCTGTTCCGTTTCTTATCTGTATAGGATGCGGCTGAGCCAAGATGACCCTCTCCAGCAGCATTTGCTTTTCAAAAAAACTCTGTTGTCCATCTGGAAGATGGTGGCTGGCCACAGGTGTGTTATTAAGGTTTATGGAGGCGAAGAGGACTAGGGCTGCATCCACAGTAGCACATCTTCATGGCTGCTTGATACTAACCATTCAAGAGCTAGTGCAGGTCACACAGCATCTTGCGATTTGTCTGTGTCTGCATGCCACTTCCTGTGAGGGTCCTCTCCTCCCCCCAATTTAAGAGATGCAACCTTTTGCACAGTCTGGTCTAGACTGAAATCTCTTGCTGTCCCACTTCCTGACGCTGCAGTTTTCCTCTTTCAAATTGCTTCATTTCTTGGAGTGGTGTAGCGTTGCATCTATACATTCATAACCTAGGCACCTTGCTTATTGCATTTACTGCATCTGCTAATTTTTTTTAAATAGCAGAAATCGTATCAGACTTGCTTCATGATCCTAAAATCCAATACACTCCTGAGATTATCACCCTGGGGGTTTTTTTGGCAAGCAGCATCAAATT